GGCCGGGCTTGTGTGTCTCATCTTGCTTCCGTTTGGTTTGCTTTGGTTTCGTTTGGTTTGGTTTGGATGGTATGCAATTCGCTTGGTGTCAGTTTATTGGGTACTGGCTTGGCTTGTGTTTTCTTTAGTTTGCTTCTCTTCCCACTTACGGCTTACGCCCATGCTGCGGCGCGGCTAGCTGCTGCGGTGCGTTTGTTTAGTTTTGGGCTTGTGTTCTTTGCTTGCTTTTGCATAAGATTGCTCTTGGCTCCTCTTTACTCTTCTAGACTGGTGCCGGCCTACGTCTATGCCTATTACTCTGCTAAGGTTAGCCTTCGCCTCAGTGTAGTATAGTTGGCGCTAAGGTCGCTAGTGTTGTGCGGTATCCATGTCAGCTTATCGAGTAGCTACCGCGCTGAAATAGAGCAGAGGGGAGCACGCGCGCAGTAGACGTAGAGCAGGGGCCGAGGCATGTGAGGCGATCTGATGCCACCCCCTGCCTTGCTTGAGGCTGAGCTACGGCAGCCTTGCCTTCAGCTCGCCGCGCCAGCTCAGCCCGCCTCAGCTCAGGCCAGCTCTGGAACCGTAACCGTTGCCGTGTAGGCTGTGCGGTTGTATTGTGTAGGCTATCCCAGGCGCGGCTCGGCCTCGGCGTCGCGTCGCATGTCCCAGCCTCTGCCCTGCTCTCATCTCGTGCTCTTTTCTACAGTACAGGCACAGGCACGCTAGGGCTAGTGCTCTACTCTTAAGACATTGTCTTCGCTTCTCATCAATGTCAATCCCATGCCAGAGCCAAGTCTAGTCGTCTGCGTTGTGTCGAGCTGTTGCTCTCATCTACTGGCTTACTCGCTATGGCTCCACGACCGCACGGGGCAGCACAGTCCGGCGCTGAGGCCACCGGAGTGGTTTCGAAGGCTTGCGAATGACCTCTACCAGAAAAATCTGCGCCAGGAGATCGACGGCCGCCGTGCGTGTATTCCTCATACTCAGAGGGAGAGACAGGGGCTCGACGCTATAAATGGTGCGGCACTCGTGAGCATTACCCTCAACGGAGGCGCTACATGCTGGGTCTGCTTTTCCACCGTCAAACCAAAAGGGCCCGCTTGCGCCTGGCGTGGCCATTCCTTCACGCAGAAGATGGCGCGGAGGTCAGGCCTGGAGGTGGAACGCCGTCCGGGTGTGGCGGGGTGAGTCTGGGCCCCCAGCTGGATGTGGGGACCAAAGCCAAAGCTGGCGCTGAGCCGAAAACGTGGAGCAACAAGAAACAGGAAGCCAGGGCGCGCCTAGGGCTTGGAGGGGCTTGCCCCTTAGCAAATGGCAAGGACCTGGCGGAGCTGGGTAAGTTTTTTGCGCGGGTGGATGCTGACCAACCCAAGGCGCTGCCGGCGTTGCGTGCTGTTCTTCAGTTGAGGAAGCTGGGGAGGGACTGGAATCAGCTGGAGAACAAGGCACGCCGCTCGATGAGCTTGCGGAGTGTGGCAGCGGTGCCGAGCTCGGCAAGGAGAAGAGGACGAGGACGACGAAGAGGCAGAGCCAGAAGGAGAGGCCCAGGGAAACGGAAACACAAAAGCAAAACCCAAAGGCAGGCCGTGCCTCGCCGCAGCGCAGCGCGAAGGGAAGCAGAAGAAAAAGCGAAGGCGGTGGCTTCGTTTCCCGCTCGCTTGGTGACCAGCTCCGCCTATCTAGTCACTCAGGCGCTGCCTGGGTCTCCGTCTGACTGCGTGTCTGTGCGTCTAGTCTGCGCTGGCCTTTTCTTCGTGCAGGCAATAGTAGAGAACGACCCGGCCAGCCTAGCTCTGGCGTGGTCTCGCTCTCAGTCAGATTCTGGGGCGTGGCTTAGTCTTAGTGATCGCGATGGGGATCAGCATCAATCCAAATCAGAGCAGGAGCCAGACCGGGGCTGAAGAAGTGCCAGAGCCAGGCATCGCATTAGACTAGTAGCGAAGTGAGCTCTCAGCTTATGAAGTAACGTTAGTACGCGTATAGAATCGGAAGCAAATAGCTCGCGCTGGCCTCATTCAGCGCACCGATTCGCCATCCGCCCCTCACGCTTCTACTTCCAGCATTTGGGCGAGTGCTCTTCTATACTTATGCAATGCACTACTATAGGAAAGGGATCGAAGTCAAGCCCAGTCTGAGGCCAGACGGGTAGCAATATCGTAGGCGCTCTCTACAACGCAAGGCGTTGCCATTGTATTGCTTGCACTTGCAGCGCATCCGAATCAGATCAGACTGCAGCAGACTCATACGCAAGAGAGGACACAACAACGAACAGGGACAGCAGTACTCACATACAACGGCGCACCATGCTGAACCAGTGGCCCCGTGTGGTGTCATGGTCGTCGCGTCGTCATCGTCTCGCGCCGCTTAAGTTCAAGCAAGAGAAAAGATAGCAGCGCTCTACTTACTTGAGTAGCAGAGTACTGCTATGGGTATCGGTGACCAACGGGAAAAGGTCGCGCTATGCGTGACGTCGGGCACTTTCTCGACACTTGTGCTACGCTCTTCTAGTGCTTGTCTCTCCTCTCGCCTTCTGCCATCGTCTCCCCTCCACCAACTTGCTCCGTCTTGATCTTCATCATGAACGCACGAGAAGAGGAGAGCCCGGGCTCATTTTCTCAGCGCTTTCCCATTCTTTTTCATTTCTGTTCACCAAGCCGGCCGTCTGGCGCGCCTCCATTGTTCTCGAGGAAGCATAACGCCCTGAGCTCCTCCTCGAAAGACTTTCATCAAGGCACGCCATGAGCTGAGGCGGCGCGCCCTCTACTCTGCTAGCGCATGGAGTGGACTTGGATAGCTTTGCCGCTTTAAGAGAGAGCTGCTGGCTGGTCTCTAGGACGGGGCCGGGGCTGGTCTGGTCTGAGCTGATGCCTCTCCTCAGCAACGAAATACACTACCAAACCACACCAGGCGAAGCCGTAAGGCTGTCAAACAAGCGAAGGCGCCTTGCCTAGCCTAGAAGGCAAGGGCTTCCCCATTCCTGGCGACCAATGAGGGCGGTAACCTAACGGCGCACAAGAGGGGAGGGGAGCCGGGTAGCCACTTCGAAAAGCGCCACGAAATCACGCGCACCAGATGGACCCAACAAGCCAGCGGTTGCCCTGCGTCTGCCGCCATTCGATGGGCAGAGAGCGGCGGCGCGAAACCTCCAAAGGAGGGCGCTACCAATACCACACACAACGCCCGCCGCCCGCGTGCAGGTGCCAAGCTTCGCCTTTCTTATAGTGCTTGCAATGCAGACAAGCCGGCAGACAAAAAACGAAACCCCAACCCAGAGCCAACACTGCAGGGCGGCTGCCTCATTCTCCGGGAGCGCCCGGCCCCGCCGCCCCCGGGGGCGGGGCGCTAGCGGGGGGGGGCCACAAGGGGAGAGGAGCACGCGCGCACGGCGGGCGGGTTTGCCCCGCCAAAGAGTGCCCACAGCCCCCGCCCAAGAGCCCGGCAGAAAAAACCAAAAGCGCCGCAAGCAAAAAAGAGAGACCGCCGAGCAAAAGGAGGGCCCTGCCACCAGCATGAGCCCAGTGGCGAAAGCGCAGCGAGCAAAAAGAAGAAAAAAGGCGAAGGCTAGACCTAAGAGCAAGCAGCGGGCCACTGAAGTGGCGTCGCTTGGGCTTCGTCGTGTTTCATTTGGAAGAGTATGCCCAGACTTTTTAGGTTTTCAGCCATGTGCTGCCGGTTGCATAAAAGGGAAACAAAGACCCCGAAGCGCCTTCTTTTTTTCTGCGTTTTCAGGCGCCAAAAAATGCGACCAGGCTGGTTTTTTTTAGGCTTAAAAGCTGACCCCCTTAACAGCAGAAACGAGCCCGAGCATGTGCCAGGAGTTTAATCCGAGTTAGGGTAGGAGTTAAAACGTGAAACGCAACCGCTGGGGGGGCTCTAACAGTTCAGGTGGGCCCCGTGCGAGCCCGTCTCCGCGCGAGCTTGGACCCGATCGAGCCTGGAAAGAGAGGGAAGGAGTCAGCACAGAAGTGAAGAAAAAAGAAGAGAAAGGGCGGAGACCCGGCAAAGGGACCGCCGGACGAAATGAGGCCAAGAAAACCACGAAGGGAACAGAACACCAAAAAAAAAAAAAGCCGAAATGAAGGGGCCGCTTAAGGGGAGACCCCCCGATGAAGGGGGAGGCAGTGCAGGAGGGTAAGAGCAAGCGAAACGAGCTCCCCTCGCCTCCTTGGAGTCCTCCGGAGAGGTGGCGGACGCGGGTCTGGCCTCTCTCTGCGGGGTCGAGTAGGGGCAATCTCTTATCTTAAAGAGGGCAACCCTCTTAGGTAAAACGATTGCAGGGATGAGATGGCATCCCGCCCCACCCGATCGGTGGGCTTGCATCATCATCATCATCCGTCTCCGCGCGAGCCTGGACCCGAGCGAGCCTGGTCTTGCCGGCTCCGTGCGAGCCCAGCCGGCCCCGTGTGAGCCCAGCCTTCTGCGAGCTCAGCGGAGCCCCTGCGAGCCAACGTGAAGTGGGTCTTGTGTGAGCGTGGTTCCATGCGAGCCCAGCCGGCCCCGTGCGAGCCGAGCGGGCACCGCGAGAGCCAAACGGGCTTCGTGCAAGCCCGGCCCCGTGCAAGCCCCGCCGTGTATGAGCCCGGGCAGGCTCGTGCGAGGCTTGCCCCGTGCGAGCCCAGTCGGCTTCGTGTGAGCCCGGCCTTGTGTGCGCCCGGCTCCGTGCGAGCTCGACGGGCCCCGTGCGAGTTCAGTGGCACCCGCGTGAGCCCAAGCCCGAGCCCTAAGCATGCAGAGAGAGGGAGCCCGAGCCGGCCTGGGCGAGCCCAAGCCGGCCCCGGCGACCGAGCCCAAACCGGCCCCGGCGAACTGACTCAAGCCGGCCGGCCCCAGTGAAGAGCTCGAGCTGGCTCCAGTGACGAGCCCGAGCCGGCCCCGGTGAGCCCGAGCCCGAGCCGGCACCAGCGAGCCCAAGCTGGTTCTGGTGAGCCCGAGCCGGCCCGGCGAACCTGAGCTGGCGGGCCCCGGCGAACCCGAGCCGGAACCAGCGAGCTCGAGCCGGCCCTGGTGAGCCCGAGCTGGCCCCGGCGAGCCCGAGCCGGC